CTCAACTGTTTGCTATGATGTGCACTGACCACCAGGGGGCAGACGCTCCGACCGGCAGGTTAGCTTGCTGCTGGGGTCTGGCCGATTCAGGACTGAGCGAGATGGGCCGGGATGGGCTGGACACGCCCTGGAGACCTCCCGTGGTCCCTCCCCGGCTGGCCAACCTCCCGCGTCCCTCCCTGGCCCCGATCGTGCACTGGTGGGGTCCCTCGGCCTGGCCTGCGCCCTCTCACAATCCGGCCTGAGGGATACCCCACCCCCACCCCAGTGCACAAATTTCAGGCACTGGGCCTCTAGTTTATTTATAAAATCACAGAGGTAGAAGAATAATTCATAGAAAAAATGGATTTAAGAAACAAGTTATAGAAGCAAAGGAGGAAGGGCCCTAGGAGCTTAGAAGTGAGGAAGGTCCAGGTGACAGGCCTGAGGGGATGGGGAGGGGAAAGGCGCAGGTGAACTCCGAGGAAGGAGAGTGCATCGGATCCTTATGGGGATCCTAATCAGAGTACTATTGATGATCAAGGACAATTTGCCATACACATGCGTGGAGGCAAGGACATAGTAGTAGTATTAGGTGAAAGGCCTTTTTGCCCTATGCAGGTATGAGGGCAGTGACTCAGTAGCAATATACATACCGCATAAACACACCCTTATGTAACCTGTTTATGTTTATAATAGAGGCCCAGTGCATAAAATTTGTGCCCTGGGTTGGGGGGGGGGTGTTATACCTCAGGCCGGATTGCGAGAGGGCACAGGCCAGGCTGAGGGACCACACCAGTGCACGATCGGGGCCAGGGAGGGACGCGGGAGGTTGGCCAGCCGGGGAGGGACCACGGGAGGGCTCCAGGGCGTGTCCAGCCCATCCCGGCCCATCTCGCTCAGTCCTGATCGGCCAGACCCCAGCAGCAAGCTAACCTACCGGTCGGAGCGTCTGCCCCCTGGTGGTCAGTGCACATCATAGCGAACAGTTGAGTGGCCTTAACATATCATTAGCATATTACGCTTTGATTGGTTGAATTGCTAACTGGATGACCAGACATTCAGTGTTTTAGGCTTTTATTATATAGGATAGCACAAGGTTCACAAATTGGCATGAGGCCTCTTCTGTCTGAGTGTGTATCAATAATTGGCACAAGGCCTCTTTTGTTTGAGTGTGTATATAAGTTGTCACTGACCAGCTGGTGCTGGGACGCTTTGTGGGGCTGCTTTTGTGGGGCTACTTTGAAGAATGACTTTGTCTGATGGCCCCTGTAGTAGCAATGGCTACTTGGTCTACAATAAAGTATCTCCTATATATGCCTACAACTTCTCATGTCATCATCTAATGAAGGGCATCCGAGGAGCTGTTCACCCAACAGTCCTCCTTCCCAAAAGCTTTTTGTTTGTTTGTTAATCCTCACCCCAGGATATTTTTCCCATTGATTTTTAGAGACAGTGAAAGGGAGGGGAGAGACAGAGAGAGAGGGAGAAACATCGATGTTAGACACATGGATTGGTTGCCTCCTGCACAGATCAAGCCTGCAACCGAGGTATATGCCCTTGACCAGAATTGAACCTACAGCTCATCAGTCCGCAGGCCAGTGCTCTATCCACTGAGCCAAACCAGCTAGGGCCCAAAAGATTTTAAGGGTGGAAATCTTAGGTGATGTCCCAGGGAAGGATCTCAAAAGATTATTCCTTTCAGGGTTGGGGTCTCCACTGATTGATTGGTGGGTGCTAGGGCAGGGGGTCATCATTCAATGCAGCTGGTCCTGAGGTCGGTATTGGTATCACTTACCTGGTTTTGCTGCTTTTCTGGGCCTGGAACTTAAATACAACTGAAGCCTAGATGTTATCTCTGGGGAAGAAAGGTGAGGGGGTCTAAACTGAATGAGCAGAGATGAAAGAGCAAGACATCCAAAGCACATGGCCAGCAATATGCCAGGGGAAGAAAGGTCACTCTGGGAATGAGGTCCTGCCCGATAATTGTTCCTTGCTAGGCACCTGGGGCTTTCCACGCTGGTGACCTGTACCTGGCCCATCCTCCTTGCTCTACTCATGTCTTTCTGTCTACCACATCATGATTACAGCTTTATTGTAAAAGATTACAACTTAGAAACAGCAAAATGAAAAGGTGAATGCGGCAAGGTACAGGAGTGAATATGGAGCTTCCATGCCCTCTCTCACACATGTTCAGTAACCAAGAAACTCTACCAAGCCCCAGTGTCCAGATTTCTTATTGAGTGTTCATGATTTTTATCTCATTGGTCATGTGATTAAACTCCACCCAGCTCCCTTACCCTCCAGGAGGTCAGGCTGGCCCAAAATCAATCCTCCAATCAAATGATTGTTTTTTTCTGGTAATTAGCCAGAAACTATCCTGAGACTTTTCAGGGACCCTCCAGGAGTCTCCTCATTAGCATAACAAAGGCACTCTATCAGAAAATTCCAAGGGTTTTAGGAACTCCGAGCTAAGAACTGGGATTAAAAACCAGACACATCCTTTATTATATAACACTAACATTTACCCTCCAAGAAAAGCGTAGTCAAGCAATTTGAACATATGCTACATATAATTTATTGATTTTAATGATTGCACTAAAGTACAAATGTGTATAATGAGGACAGCATTTCAGAAAACAGTTTGCCTTTTAACATTTGTTTAATGAATAAGAAACAAAATATTAAGAGGCAATGGTTTCTATTTTGTTTTTGTTTTTTGTGGCTACATGAATGGAAAAATATACACAAATATAGACAAACTTTCAAAGCTCATTTGCTTATAAGCAAATTTATTCAGGTTTATAGAATTTATTGTTTGTTTTCCTATTAGTAGGAAAATGTTAAGAAGGTAATTGTCATCTCTGGTATTAAAAGCCCTGAGCGGGTTAGACCAGATATTCTATTCAAATGCTAAGAAGTACAGTTGGTTTCTCCCTGTGTGTAAGACAATCTCTGATGTGGCCCTCCTGATCCCATCCCTTGATATTCAAGCCTCTGTAATTTCTTCCCTTTGAGTGTGGGCAGTACCTGTGATTTGCCTTCTAAACAATAGAATATGGCAACAGCGATTGGATGTGACTCCCATTGAAACCAGGCAACCAATTGGTCTGGGCTGCCTGTCACTACTTGAGCAAATTAAGCATAGACAGGGTTGAATCATATAGGAGCATTCCTATATAATAAAAGAGAAACATGTAAATTGACTGACCCTCCACTACACTCACCAGCCAGTCAGGAGTGAGTATGCAAATTAACCTGCCAAAAAAAGGCGGGTTAATTTGCACATACAGGTGCTGGGCGGAGAGCAGAGCCGGAGAGCCGGTGGAGAGTGGAGTAGCTTGGGGAACTTGGCTTCCCAAGCCGCCAGACGGAGAGCAGAGAGGGAGAGCTGTCGGCTTGGAGGACTTGGCAGAGTGGGAGGCCGGATGGAGACAGAGCAGGAAAGGAAAACCAAGAGCGCGGGGAGCACCAGGAATTCTGGGAATAGTAGTTCTGGTGGCAGCCCCAAGACTGGAAGAGGAAGCCCAGAGCGCGGGGAGCACCAGGAATTCTGGGAATAGTAGTTCTGGTGGCAGACGGATATCCTAGACCAGTGATGGCAAACTTATGACACGAACTCATTTTTTTTGGTTGATTTTTCTTTGTTAAATGGCATTTAAATATATAAAATAAATATCAAAAATATAAGTCGTTGTTTTACTATGGTTGCAAATATCAAAAAATTTCTATATGTGACACGGCACCAGAGTTAAGTTAGGGTTTTTCAAAATGCTGATACGC